GTGTGACAGAGTTTTGCAAGATTGTTCTGTTTGTTTTGATTCAAATAAGTGATCTAATCTGTATTCTATACTGAAAACTAAATTTTGCAACGGATGCAACAGGCAGTACCTTGAATTTGCTTTCTTTCCACAGAAATAACGCCTTATCCATGCTATAATCAATGTAATTACAGTAATTGCTGTCGTGGGAATGAAATAAATGTTTGGCAGTGCTAAAATCGCCTCTGGTCATCATCCAATGAACTGCAGCGATTTTTGATAATTTTTCGTAAGTGAGCAAATCATAAAGGCAGGATTCATCCAAAATTTGATAAATGATTGGCAAATCAGCTACAAAACACTTCTTTATTGTGAAAAGTACTTCAGACACTTTTGAATTCGTTATTATTCATTGATGAAAAATTTAATTTCTTTCTGGAGCATAAGCTTTTGATAAGGCGAAAACTTTTATTATCAAGCAAAAAAGTAGTGAATAAATTATTTTTTGAAAAAACGAACTCTTCTTGGTGATATCTTGCATTTTCTCAATGGCATAGTCCGATGCGTGGCAGTGCCATTCAATTAATGCAAGTTCAAGAGCAACTTTATCCTTATCAATCTTAACTGACGTAAGGTTTCTGTAGAAATTCTCAAAATTCTGCATGTGGTACAATGCATCTTTGTAGTTTTTGGTGGCATAATATGCACAAGCAAACAAGTGTTCACATATTACTTTTGTACTCTGAAATAGCTTACTTATAATAAATGCAAATTTTATAAGAATATTCTTTTCAAAAGTGTCAAAAAATTTTTTATAAAAATATATGGTAGTTTGGAAATATTGCTAAAGAAGGAGACAATATTCTGACTTCATATTTATTAATAAGAAATTATTAATAATTAAACTTTTCGCATCAGTTTTTTTCCCGCGTCAAAAAATTGCATTATTTTTGTTACTTTTTGTACCGTTTGCAGTTAAACACAAAAAAAAAAACTGCAAGTTATGATAAATAGTCAATTTCTGTATTTTAATTATATACAATAATCATATTAGTTATACAATAACGAGCATTCTGTATATGAGGTAGTAAATTATGCTAATTTAACCATTTGCTGTTGTAAAATTTGAATTAATGGAAATAAAAATGAGATCAAAGGAAACTAACTTTATCCAAAGATTCTTCTTTTAAATTATTGATGTGATTAAGAGTGTCCTGAATTAATCCCTCTTCCAATTCCAACTTAGCAAGTTCAAGTAATAGTGTCATTCGTTCTTCTGAATTTATTCCTACGACATTCAAGCATTCTCGAAAAATTTTCACAGCTCGTTTTCTAGCGTTACATCTTCTGTAATACTTTTTCAGCTGCAACAATAATTCCGAAATATTGCCGTATCTGTTGGTAATAGATAGTATCACTGCTTTCTCTAAAAATTTGCATGCCTCGCGGGAATTTTCCAAATTCACGGCCACTTCTGCTGATTCCTTCAACACTTGGACCTGAAATAAATTTGAAGGGTAAGTAGTAAAGTAATTCAGTGAGTTCAAAATAGTTGCCCATACTCAAACAAATTTCATTTTATTAACTTAACTCTAGAATTACTTCCATAATGCAAACTTAATTTTAATTACTTTGTTTTTAGCAAAATTTTGGACTATTTTTGTGCAAAACTCAGCAAAAAACTATGTAATTCGTAAATATTATCTCTGTTAAAGGCTGCAATACTAAGTTGTCTGTCTTTAATTATAATAAAAATTCGTAGCATTTCGTTAAGTTTAGACAATGTTTTTAAATTTCATTTGAGATTTCCAACTTTATCACACTCATACGTTACGCTTATTGTAATATTGCTTGCTTATTTTGAATAAAATTATTAAATTCGAGAAATTTAGGCAAAAATATCATGTCGATCAAAAGTGTTCTGTTTGAGATTGCAAAAAAATGTTTCCCAATCATAAAAACTTATTGAATTTGTTACGTCACTTAGTTATTGAATGACTGAATTCCCGAAATCGTTGAAAAACTTTATTGAAACAACTAGCATTCATTAGAAATTTGAATGTTCTTTGAATAGGTACTCAGTCAGTTTTCATCAGTGAAAACTTGAAAAGAGTGAAAAGTAAGTGAAAGCAAGTTCGAGTTCAAAAGTGCTTGAAAAGTCTAAAATTCACTATTACTGACCTGAAGGTCAATAGAACCTGTCTGGGAGAGGTCGAGGCGATTCCTGCAAAGCTGCATGGCCCATTCAGCATCTTTAATCAGTTGTTTCTCTTCTATTAAGTGTCTTAGCATCTCACACTTTCCTTCCATGTCATCAATATCATCAAAAAATGCTATTTGTTTGCAAAAATTCAGTGATGCCTTTAAAGAGTTCGAAGGTCAGTTTAGATTTTTCACAATTTTTACTTCATTTCAATAAAATATACATTTTTGTAGTAATGCAATATTTTGAGTTTATTATAAATTCACGTTTGTCCTCTAATAACTCTGAAATTTGCAAAATTTGAGCTTTATTTAATCATTTAAAAGTGGACTTATTTAAATTGTCATCGAAGAAAGCTTTTGACCTTTGAATGCTGACCCATGCCAAGATAACTTTCTGCAATGTATCCAAATATCAAACCACGTTGTCGACGATGACATCGTTCACTTGTTAAGCTCAACGCTTTAATGAATATTTTTTTTGCTTCTCTATATCGTTCTCGATGTAGCAATGTACGTCCAATTGAAATTAGTGCGTCCAAGCAAGAATCACTTTTTGATAGCAAGTCAGCAAGTGTTAGATAGCATCTAAGTTTCGCCTAATTTTATTCTTATAAATGTTTAAAAACTTGCTTGCTTATTCATTTTTAAAATATAACGCATTCATTATTTGACCTTTTACAATTTTATAACCTATGGATAATTTTTTACAGATTTCTAGTAATGAATGCATTTAAAATTGTTCATAACTATTTTCTTCTTTATGACATTAATTCTCAAATATTGCTGATGATTCAGAGTTGAAAAATCATTTTGAATTCCAGATGAGTGTTGAATGATTGTATTTTTGTACTTCAATCAACGATGACCTGAAGTAATCTACCTCAGACAAGAGTGACATATTTCCATGTTGCCTTTCTTGAAGTGAATATTTGCCATTTCACTGTACAGTTTAATCATACTTTCTAAATCAGATATTTGCTGGTAAACAGTCAATGATTGGTGATAATATGCTAATGCCTCATCTGCATGATAAAGACGCCAGTGTGACGTTCCAAGTTTACTACATAGCTGCAATCATTTACAAGTATGATTTTTGTTTAAAAGTTTGTTTTGTATATAAAACTACGATTTTTACAATAGTACTTAGGTCGTGTGTAATTGCGTTTCAATAATAAAAGTAAGTGCAAAAAAGGTTTAATTCAAAGCTTCAATAAAAAGAACTTTTGCTTCCTTTGAAAGGTTATTATCTTCCTGAAAGAGCATTAAACACTGATTGTAAGCTTCGATGGCTTCTTCGAATAAATCGTTATGAAAATAGCGATCACCGCTAATTTCAATAATTTGACCTTCACGTTCTTCTACAGCTTCTTCTTCGAAAATCTTTTTTGCTTCTTCCCAATGTTTTTCAGCTTTTACCTACAAGTATCCCTCTTTACCGTATCTGTGATATTAATATTAGCACGAAAAATCTTTGGAGAAATTTTTATTGGAAACTTTATTTATTCTTTTTTAGTGAATTTTTAAAAAACAAACTTTCCAACGGAAATTTCGTTCATGTCTACAAATGTTTTGCTTCAAGACTTTTGTTCGCGCGGAACAAAAATTTAAGTGGAAATAGTTAGCTGAATTTAAGGCAGAAATTGTTAAGTGCATGATAATAAAATATTTTACTTAAAATTTTACTTAAAATCTACTTGATAATTCGATATTCATAATTTTGGCAAATGATATGCATGAATTTGTAATGATTGGACTTCAGTGATTTTTTAACTAATTTACAAATTGTTTGAATTGAAAAGTAAAAATGGAAGAAATGAATCAAAATAGAAATGTTCTCCTCATAAAATTCTGAACTCAATAATAATTTAGTTTTGCAGCAATAAATAAAGAATTAATAGATATTGCAATGCAATGTGGACTTTTTCGTACTATCATGACCTTTTCATGTATGGAATCATAGAAGTAATAAAGATCAATGTGTGCATCAATAAGTACTGCAGGTGAAGCAACCCTCTCAGCAAGCTTCAGCTCATCCAGTAATGCTATTTCAGCTTGATCTGAAGCACCGGATTTGCGATATAGTTCTGCCAATCTCCGAAAACCCTTTAAACGAACATCTGTAACTGATCGGATGATGAGTCAATCTGTTTATGATAAAAAAGGTTTCAAGAATGACTTGAGCAATATAATTTTAAAAGCAGCCAATATTTAATTATCTTTTGCTAAATCTGATACCGTATTTTTTATAGCGTTTTTATATTTTGTGCATCAGTATTTTTTAATTTTTTAATCTCTTTTCCGCTTTACTTTTGATTTTTACTTCATTTTTTCCTCACATTATTCAAAATTCTGCATGATTTTCAGGTATAATAGCAAGGTCAAATATTATCTTATAATGAAGAATTATAATTTAATGTATAAAAAACCCCGCAATTACTAATTATGCTAAATTAATTTGATTTTATTTAAATTATAAATTGTCATCAAAATGTATTGTTTTTCATATTGCAAGTAGCTTTTAGTTTAAATAATGTTATTAGGAGAAAATTCGAACCAATGCCTTCAACAAAGATCATTGAGCAATATTTCTTGCACAGAATGATCGAATTCGCAAAATCATTAATGGAAGCATATATGTTGGATAGATTCCTGAGAAAGATTGCAAAGTTTTGAATGCCAAATACTCTTATTTACAATAAGCTTAAGAATAAATCAAAAAATAAAGATTTTAATAACAAAAAAAATCACCATAGTGCATCAGCTTCAAGCTTGAGCGATTTAATTTTGGTTGCAACTTTTAACTCCTTTTTAGCCCATTTCCATGCTAAGCAGTACTGCCCAGTAGCTAGATAACATTCACTCAAAAGACCATAGTATTGTCCAACCTGAAATTAGTATAAAAATAGATGACTTTTTTCTTCAGCACTACTTAGCTGGGTCAAAGGTTTATTTCTTAAAGAAAAATCAGTGCTTTACTTCTTGAAACACTTTTCATCAAAGTAATACAAAGTTTCAACTGATTAATCATGAAATTAAAACGTGTACAATTTGTACTGATGGCTTATTGCAGCGCAAATTTGTTGCCATTGAACATCTAATAATATTCAGTGCAGTCACAATTTTTCCGTTATGAATTAAACATTTGCATTTGAAGGCAGTTGCCAAAGCTTTTTCGTCAGTGCTATTGCTGACTTCTAAGAGTTTATTGCAATAAAACACTGCAGCCTCATTGTCTTCCTAAAAATTCTAAAGGTAATAAAGTTTCTTTGCAACAAATTATTAAGTAGCAAATCAGAGATTGATCGCAAAATATAGCGTGAATCAGTCGAGAGAATATACATTTTGAAAATATGTTTTCAAAGAGAAACAAAAAGGAGAAAGAATGAATGCATTTTGTACATATTTATATATCAATGAAATTAACAAACCTTAGCGAGCGCAAGTTTGACAATTCTAATGATACTCTGAAACGTAAAGGTATCTAATGATGCTATAATTTGAGCTGCAAGCTTGTATTTGCCAAGTTGGATGTACAAATCAGTAAGGTTGAGCTGCAATCTATCTGATTTCTTCCCTCTCTAAAATGAATCATCTAAAAGTATTGAGAGATAATTTTTTGAAGTTAAGATTAAGTCTGAGCTGCATAGATTAGAATGAAGTTAGATGCTGAATTCCTTCATATTTCTGTCTATTTTCCTATTTATGTTTTTTCTTTATTGAATTCCGATTTTTATGACATTGAAATATATCAAGTAAGATATTTCAGTTTTCATTACATACTGGTTGCTTATTTATTTGCTAATATTACGGAGAAAGAAATAAGAAAGCCGAAGAAATTTTTGAACAGATTTTTATTTCTGTTTAAGCAAGAATAATTTATGAATTTTCACACTTGGATTTCAATTTGCCTTTCGAGATGAGTAACAGCAAGGCTGCTTTGATTATTCGATAGTGCAGCGTCTACGATACTGCCGTGAATAGCAAACTGTGTGTCCAACTTACCTAAAATAATTCTGGGCGTGCAAAAAATTCTGCATAATTGTTTGGAAACAAATATTTAATTTAATAACTTTGAAATATATTGTATCGTAGGAAAACTACAATTACAAATTCTTTAGAAAGTATTGATATCACTATATCTATTGATTAATTAGTATTTTGTTGAATAAGGATAAAATGCAAGCACGAAAGCTGATAACTTTGGATTTTTATAATAAAAGCAAAGTTCCCGCAAAAACTTTCTAATTTTCAAAATTTTAAATTACGGAAATGTTTATTAGGACGAGAAAATCGACGTACAAAAATTAAGTAATGAAGTTCCATGGTAGTTTTAAGTATTTAGAGCTTTTCGTCCTTTGTGCTGATGACAAAAACAAGCTTCTATCATCTAATTTCTTCTTTGCTGACTCCAGCGAACAGAGAGATTCAAAGATTGTTGCAACAGAAAACTTTTGAATTGAATTTTTGTAATTTTGCAAATTAAGTTTTAATAATTACCAAGTTTTGTGCTGATTTCAAGTTGCATTTGTAAGTATTCGATTGCTTTTGAAAAATCCCTTTGCTGATAATACGCAGATGAAAGCGCAGCTACTACAGACAACTTCAAGTCCAGCTGTGTATTTTCAGTCTTTTCAATCCTGAGGGCTAAGTGAAGAAATTTTATTGCTTGAGAGACAGCACCGGAAGTCAAATATTCTTGGCCAATCATGCTAATTACCAGAAATGCATCAAACTTCAGTTCACTTTCCATTTTGTTCAATAAAAATAATAAGTCATCTGAAAAGAGAAGAATCAGCTGATTACAATGAATTCGAGGATGCTCCAGGGAAGCTTGTTCGCTGACTTTGCTAAATTTTATTGGAACTCTCTTAAAATTAGTAATCTTTTTTTTGATTTCACTGAACTTAAACCTTTGAAAGAAATAAACCGCAAAATATCTTTCAGTGCCATTATTATTTCATTTTCATTTTCGATTGCTAAACCTTGACAGTACGCAAAAATTGCTTCATCGAACTCCCTAATACCACGCAAAGCATCTCCTTTACGTAAGTATCCCTGAAAACAAACGTAAATGCTGCTAACTATAGTGACAGACAGTTTAGAGGCTATAATTGCTCAATAAATGCAAGTCGCTTTTATATTAACAAGTGCTTAATTTAATGCATAGATTATTCTATGCAGTCAAATTTCATGCGAAATATGAATAATACTTTCAAAATATGAACTGATCAATGATAAAAAGATAGGATTCATGGCTTCGGAGTTATGTTTGCCATTAGAAATAACATAGAAAATAAAAACTTAGAAGGGATTGTGAGCGCGTTAATGATTAAAATGGAAAGCAAACTTTGGGCCAGTTAGGATCAATCGCTAGAGATTTTTCAGCGTCACGCAAAGATTCATCAAAGCGTTTCAGGCGAAGAAATATAGCAGAACGATTTGAGTAAAGGATATGATTTTCAGGATAAATTAAGTCAATGGCTTTGTTGTAAAGTTCAAGAGCTTCTTCAGGATTGCTGTTCAAAAATGCCTGCTTAGCAGCTTCTAGCACAGCAAAAGGCTTCTCGCGCAGCATTATATTACATTTCGATCTTTTTCATCTCTACTTCTACCTTTAAAAACGCGAAACTTTGTGAAGATGCCAAACAATTAAAACATTTACGTGGTCTGTAATGGACGAAAATTATTCAGATTAGCGATTAAACTTTTTAATGTTCAAATTCACGCTTTAACACTCTCAAACCAGTTTTTCTTATTTTGAAAATTATTTTTCATGCTTATTTATTGCTGAGAACACAGTAAAAATTAATCAAAATAAATCAGTAACTGCTTTGCTGGAAGATTTCTGTGATCTGTTAAGAACAAAACTATAAACTTATAGTAAATATGCTAATATTGCATGTTTTTATTTTTTAGTTATTATTTTATATTATTATGGTAACAGAAAGCAATATTCTAGGAAAACAAGTTATTTATTGGGGATTAAACGTTCAATAATATTTTCCTGAGAATTTTGGTCGTGCAAATTTTTCAATAATTAATGAATTCGATTTTGAATAATTTAGGACTGAAGGAATCAGATCAGACAAAGGTAAGTTTTCGATCTATTTGCTTCTGTAATCTTTCATCTATCTAAGAGTTTCTTTCTCGAAATGCAGAAGGGTAAATTCGTACTGGATAAAGTGAACTTACGCGCTGAATGCTGTAAAAAAGTGATGAAATGATAGGATAATCAAAGTGATCATTTAGACTTGAAAGGATGTGCGTGGAAGGAGCGGAAAGACAGTTTCGAGTGACAGAGGCACAATGGGAAGAGGCGAGTGCATGCCTAGTCGTCCTTGACATGAGCGCCAACCTTGCCTCAACCTTACCTTAAATATTACTCAGCACTTAACTCTCTGCTTAAATTATAGTAGAAGTAATTACTGTCAATACGCCTTTGACAGAAAGTTATTATTTTATTTTTGTCAGAAAGAAATTCATCTAAATTTTCCTCTTCAATGCCTCATTTCTATCACTGCCACAAGCCAGCAATTATTTGTATTCAAAATTGACTAATAAGTCGATTGATTAGTCAGTTCTGACATCTTTTGTAATGCCATTTTTGTATTGAAAACAAAGAAAAATTTGCAAATGGCTACATTTGGTTACATTTAGTGATAAACTTTTTTAAGAATGCTTAAAAAACTGAACGCTCGAACGAAACAAAATTATATTTGGAGGATTCGTATTTGAATGAACTGTATGCGTCTGAATCAAAATGAAGTTTACAATATGTGCGAAATCATTACTATAATCATATCAACTGTGCCCAAGCTAATTTTTAGCATTATACCAGCACTCGATGCTAATTTTACAATTCATTTAAAACAAAGTAACAAAATTATTTTCACTGCTCATACTGTCATGAAGAGTTACAGTTATGCAAAAACTTGCTAATCCTCACACAGCAAAAACTCTCTTCAGCAACTAAATTAGACACGTTAATAATATCCGTGTAGCATGTAAGCAAATCACATAATCAGTAAGCTATTTGCAACAAAAAAAAATCTGAAAAAATTAGTCAAAATCAATTTGAGTTGTTTAGTAATAGTTCATAAACATATAAATAGAGTTATAATTACTTAGAATGAAGCAAAAGATGATTCAGTAGCAGTGAAATATTCACTAAAATAAAAAGTGATCATCTTTTGCTATTAGGTTCACTCCATAACAAAAATACCAAAGATGTTCAGTGATTAACAAACAGTCAAATGAATTGCATGATTTTATTACTTTCTATCATATTATAGCGTATGACAATGAAAAAAAAGCGTTTATTTTAGATTCTGCTTAAAGGGTTTTGATATCTAACCACTTGCATCGTTTCATGAACTTTGCAACTGATCTTACATTCCAAAAGAATCATTTGAGTCCCTTGTTCGTGACTAACCTGTAAACAAAGTGATACTACATTAAAAGTTGTATTTAGTAATAATTTTATAATTCAGTCAGTAAGTATTATTTCTTTCTAAAATATTCAAATTTAGAGCAATCTTAGAGATGATAGTCGATAATTGATTTTATGGTCAATAAAGAGTTTGGAAGGTGTGACAAATAATGACCATTTTGGACGGTGTGGTCATTAGACCGCTGCGGACGTTGACACTTTCACCATATACAGGCATTCTCTGATTTGGTTCGTTCCGCGTGAAATTATTTTTGGATAATACGAATGTCAATGGTAATTTTGAGTCATTTCATTTTCTTATGCAGCGATGAAACAGTATGAACTGATGACTTAGTTGCAAGATGAGAATTTGGATAGCACTGACTGTGAGAACAAATGACAGAAATAGTTATAATAAATGTTAATGTGAAAATTGCTGCATCAATAATAATAATAATAATGGCAGTAAATCAATGGGTGATGATGATTTATATTCTGAATCAAATAATTTTCATCAAATGGCAGATAAATATGCTATGCAGAATCACCCCCTTGGATACGCAGTCTCACATTCTTCAGAAGTTGAAGTAATGATGAATCAAAGTTTGACTTTTATCCATATGTTTCTAGTTAATTAATATTTTTTAAGACAATAGGCACAACTAAGTGATGAGTCAACTTTATGCCATTCAATTTTTTGAATAAGTCTAGCTAGAATCTAACCTGGTAAGATTCTAATCCAAATTGTTCAGTTAGTTCAAATATAAGTAGTTTCATTCATAACACGGACGGAGTTACCAGAGCCAATTTTTTGACACACTCTGACGCACTTTCAAGAACAGTGAGACAAATCATCACATGCATAAATTTCCTAGTTTAAATCCTGGAATCAGTCTTAGTTTGCTAAACGATTATATTTGAATGGTTCAGGGACTTTTGCTCGTTTTTAAAAACAAAATATTAGTGCAATTGCAAATTCATTTCAACGTCCTGATTTAGGTAATATAATTTTAAGTAACTCGATGATAGTAATGATAACGAAATTATAACAATTAAAAAATGAATAGCCTTCGAAAATTACTTGGAATTACTGTCATCATCTTTTCTAATAGAAACTGAGCATGAGAACAGAATCGGATTCTCATGGATCAATGCACAAACATTGGCAAGTAAATCTATGACTACTAGTTAGTACAATAATAGTCTACTCATTGATGCTGTAGTCATTATCAATATTTGATATCTTCATTTCACACTTTGTAATTTTGAGTTTTGTTTTAGAATAAGATAAGGACGGAAATTGGAAATTACTTCTGTCAAACTGCTTATCCTTTTTAGAACTGCTTATGAATATCAAGGAAAGATGAGAAATCAAAATAAAATATCTTTAAGCGTAATAGTTGTCTTTTTAATTGAACCTAAGCCTTGTATTTACTTAGACTTGTCTGTTTTACAAACTTAGTCAAAGAAATTAAGAGTGGATAAAATGCGTAATAGTTATTTTATTTCGATTATTTTAAAGTTTCAATGTTTTAAATAATTTAGTTATTTAGTTCTCATCAATATTCAATTCAAGACTGTTAATCACTAATAGCGTTGTTAACATTTTTGATATCTCTTACGTCATCAAAAATATTAGATTTGTGAGGATCTTGTGCGAATGCAAAATTTACATACTGAATCATCACTGATTGCAAATAAGTAATACGTGATGTGTTGCTGCACGTAGATACGAAACATTATTAGACTTTAATTTCATTACGATTGAATCATTATTATATTAATGTGATCAGTAATTAGTCATTTAATTTAATAATGGTTGAAACTGATATTAATTATAGCAAATCGATATTCAAGTTTCTCAAAAAGGATTTAATTCTTAAGAAAGATGTTCTAGCAATCATAAATGACATAGATAATATAAGAGAGTGTTTATCAGAAACTTCAATTTTATTCTTCAAAATTTTCACATCTTAATCCATCTTAAAATCTTTAAAATGGAAATAAATAGCAGACAAATCTGAAGAATAATATTTTTAATGCGAAAAAATGATTGATTCTTAACCGAACTATTAAATGCCCCAAAATTTTCTCAGTTTTAAGAATATGAAAGGAAGCATTTCCATCTCAGGGCTATAAATAAATAACTCTAAAGAAGACAGAATTTTTCGCTCTTTAAAAACTCAATAAAATGCTTTCTCTTTTCAATTCCAAAATTTGTGTTTCAGTTAAACTTACAGAATAAATTTCATACTTATCAAATTGTTCGGTAAACTTTGCTTTTAGAATAATTCGCATCAAACTTTGCTTTCAGAATAATTCGCATCAAACTTTGCTTTCTGGCAAATTCGCATAAATTTAAAAAAGTTAAGAATAAGCCGAGCTCATATCGCTTTTAATTTGCATACTTTTTACTCAGTTCACTCCCAAACTTTTGTTGATTTCTCTTCAAGTTTTGAAGTTGAATCTAACTCTGAAAGTATTTCATCGCTCTCAACTTACTTTCTGCTAAATGTTATCAAATACACGGCTAACTTTGAATCAACGTTAGTGTACTTTTTACCTCTCATTTTTTTGCAATAATTGATATAAATTGAATTAATTTTTACGTAATCAAATAAAGTTTTTCGCATTGCTTTGAAGTGCGATGTGAATGCTTTTAAAGATAAAAATTAAAGTGATCGAATTACTCAGAAAAAGTAGCCAAAAATTATCGAAGCAAATTCAAATGGATATACTTGTAATCAAAAATATATTTATTTTATATTGTAATGCAAAATGTTTATTTCGTTGTTGGTAAAAGACTATTTTTAAAAAATTAATGTCGTAAAATTCAAAGTTTCTTAGTAATTGTCATAAAAGTTCGATAAAGTAAATAAAAATGATTGAAGCTATAAATTTCAAAGTATTGAATTTGATTTTTATTTCAGATTCACTTTCATTGCTTGCAAATGTAATTCTTATCAAACAAATACAAACAAATTATTTAATCGTGCAGCGAAATAATCACTTCTCTTCAAATGCAATCAAAAATTCAAAGATTTGGGATTATTTTTCTGAAGATTAAATAACAATCTTTCATATGCACAGCAGACATTGCTCGCTGTTGCTGTAAATTGCATTGCTTAAATGGAGTTATGCGAGGC